GATGGATCATCTGTTAAACTCTTAGTAGTTCACATTTCAAAGCCACTGGTAATTCTACATGCAGAGGTTTTGTTTTCCTGAATTGAGAATTTGTGTTGAAGTAATCAATTTTCAAGTTCCCTGAAAACAAATTAGGCAATTTTGACCTTTGCTCTATTTAACTGATTTTTTTTTCTGCATCTTTTACTAGGTAATTTTAGATTTTTGACTTTGGCTGGCAGGACTAATGTTACATAAAATTCTCAAGTGGTTCAAGTCTATACTTGGCGCTGTCCCATCTGTTCTACCACGTGGCTTCCCTGGCTAGACTGCCATTCTCTTCCCACCATAACAACCCACACAGACTGTTCTCAGTGGTTCTGTAGCTTTGAGCTTTTCCTCTGTCTTCTTGGCTACCTCTGGCCTCACCTATCCCTTTGGGCCTTATTTACTGCTTCTTGTTGACACTAAATACTTTTTGCAAATTAATCTATGCTGAAGAATTTATGGTTTATAGGATCTTATCTTTCCAAGCGGTGATGTTTTATTTTGATATTTCAAAAGTACACTGCCAGAAACATCATGTTGTAATTATGAGAAAAAAATATTAATGGCAGAAACTCTATACTCGGGCCTAAGCCAGTTGGAAAGATAACTTCAGGGCACTAAGAGGCCTTTGGGTGGCCTCAGATTATACATTTTAGATACTTGCTTATTTCATTCAGGGCAGATCCCTGATATTCTCTTTCCATTTTGTCTTTCTTTCTTTCTTTCTTTCTTTCTTTCTTTCTTTCTTTCTTTCTTTTTTTCTTTCTTCTTTTCTTTTTTGAGGCAACATCTCACTGTGTTACCCTGGGCTGTCCTGCAACTTCTATGTAGAACAGGGTGGTTTCATACTCACAGAGATCCATCTGCCTCTGCCTCCTGTGTTGTCATTAAAGGCATGTACCATCAGGTTTAACTCTGTTTTCACTTTCTAACTCCAAAGTCAATGAAATTATCATGAAGATTTATTTGTTAGTATCTAGGCACACCCTGCACCCTGAGTCATGCCTGCCTGCATAACAGATAATACCCTGTCCCTTTAAGAGACTAGCTCCACCCACCCCTTCTCTCTTCCTTTCTGCCTTTCTCTCTTTTGCTCTCTCTCTCTCTCTCTCTCTCTCTCTCTCTCTCTCTCTCTCTCTCTCTCTCTCTCTCTTCCCTTCATCCTCTCCCTTTCTCCTTTCTACCCTCCTCTCAGTAAACTCCACACTCATGCTCTGTCTGCATGGTATTTTGTCACCCCCACGGTTCTCACTGCCATGGGACCCACCAAGGTCCCAAATTAGGCCATATCATACATAATACTATGGCCAGAAGGACTTTAGCCACCTTATTTTCTTTGCAAGTACTATAAATGTCTCTTGTTTATAATTGCCTGGTGTTATGCCCAAATCCACGAAGTTCCCCAAAAGCCAACAAGGAGACTGAGTCCCATATGTAAAAGCAAAGAGCCTTTATTTTATGCAAGCTTGCAAACTCGGTCTCTCCACATGTCCAACATATTGGAATAAGCAGAGAGCCCCGAGCTCAGTTAGAATTGGGTTATTATAGTAGTAGAGGTGGGGGTGAGGATTTTTTGAGGTTCAGGATCCTGACTGGCTGACATTTGTCTAGGGGTGTCCTGGTGAGTGTGTGCTGGCAGGCAATCCTATCTACAGCAGTTGGAATGTTAGCCATTTCCTTTGGATGGTCTGTTTTTGGGTGGTGCTTTGGTAATCTCAGTTTGTGGTCCTTCCTGTAACCAGGTATTGCTTCAGGGTAAACTACTGAGACTCAGGCCTCTATTAAATTTATTGATGCCTGAGTCCTACTCTGGCAGATGATAATGGTTGGAAGTAAAGAACTTTCTTTTGGTGATTTGTTCATATTTAGCTTATCATGGCTGGCTCCTTCATTTGGCATGTTTTATCTAAGCAGCAAAGGCTATTTATACACTCATAATTATAAATATAGGACTGTTTGTTTGCCATCATAAATTCACATTTTCAAGAGTCATATTAAGACTATTTAATATTAAAATTAATTACTATTCAAGTTTAATATTTATCTTATTAAAAAGACAGCAGGTAGCTATATATCCAACAGAAGATTGATATCTAGCATATAGAAATGCTTAAAAAGAGAAAACAGCCTGATAGAAAACTGGACTATGGATTTGAGCAGTGAATTCTCCAAAGGAGAAGCAGTGACAACTGAATGCTGTTGTTTAGCTAGACTGACATTGAAGTATTTACGTTTATACCCATAGACAAATGCCATTCCCAGCCTTATTCTGAGAGGCCAGAAGGGTCTGAAAGCAGAGTCTCATGGCTGCACCAGCTGCTGAGAATAAGTGGCAGACAAGAGCTCGGTCTTAACATATTTTTTTCCAGCAGATTATTTTTTTTATTACTTTATAAATAATATCAATCAAAATTTCTACTTTCTCCCCTCCTCTCACTTCCCTCCCACTCCCTCACTCCCCCATTCACCCTCTCCCCCTTCAGTCCTAAGAGAGGGCAGGGTACCTTGCCCTGTGGGAAGTCCAAGGCCCTCCCCCCCATGCAGACTTAGGAAGGTTTGCATCCAAATAGACTAGGGTCCCAAAAAGCCAGTACATGCAGTAGAGACAAATCCCAGTGCCATTATCATTGGCTTCTCAGTCTGCCCCAAATGTCAGCCACATTCAGAGAGTCCAATTGATCTTATGCTTGTTCAGTCCCATCCAGCAGGATTTGGTGAGCTCTCATTAGCTCAGGCATACTGTCTCAGTAGGTGGACCAACCCCTTGCAGTCCTGACTTCCTTGCAGAGCTACAGTAATGAAAATAGCTTGGTATTGGCATAAAAACAGAGATGTTGACCAATGGAATTGAATTGAAGACCCGGATATTAATCCACAAACATACGCACATCTGATTTTTGACAAAGAAGCTAAAATTATACAATGGAAGAAAGCAAACATCTTTAACAAATGGTGCTGGCATAACTGGATGTCAACCTGTAGAAGAATGAAATAGATCCATATCTATCACCATGCACAAAACTCAATTCCAAATGGATTAAAGATCTCAATATAAATCTGACCACACTGAACCTGATAGAAGAGAAAGTAGGAAGTAGCCTGCAATATATGGGCACAGGAGACCACTTCCTATGTATAACCCCAGTAGCACAGACAATAAGAGCAATAATGAATAAATGGGACCTCCTGAAACTGAGAAGCTTCTGTAAAGCAAAGGACATAGTCGTTAAGACAAAAACAGAGAAGATCTTCACCAACCCCACATCAGACAAACATCTGATCTCCAAAATATATAAAGAACTCAAGAAACTAGACGTTAAGATTCTAAATAACCCAATTAAAAATGGGGTACTGAACTAAACAGAGAATTCTCAACAGAAGAATTTCAAATGGCTAAAAGATACTTAAGGACACGTTCAACTTCCTTAATCATCAGGGAAATGCAAATCAAAACAACTTTGAGATACCATCTTACACCTGTCAGAATGGCTAAAATAAAAAACACCAGTGATAGCCTATGCTGGAGAGGATGTGGAGTAAGGGGAACACTCATCCATTGCTGGTGGAAATGCAAACTTGTGCAAAAACTTTGGAAATCAGTGTGGCGGTTTCCACGAAAATTGGGAATCAACCTATCTCAGGATCCAGCAATACCACTCTTGGGAATATATCCAAGAGATGCCCAATCATACTACAAAAGCATTTGATGTTCATAGCAGCACTATTTGTAATAGCCAGAATGAAACAACCTAGTTGCCCCTCAATGGAAGAATGGATAAAGAAAGTGTGGTACATTTACACATTAGAGTACTACTCAGCAGTAAAAACCAATGACATCTTGAATTTTGCATGCAAATGGATGGAAATAGAAAACACTATCCTGAGTGAGGTAACACAGAACCAAAAAGATGAATATGGTATGTACCCACTCATTAGTGGATTCTAGCCATAAACAAAGAACATTGAGCCTATAGTTGGAGATCCTAGAGAAACTAAGTAATAAGGTGAACCCAAAGAAAAACATATACAGGTCCTCTTGGAAATTGGAAGCAGACAAGATTGCCAGGCCAATTTGGATACATAGGAGGTGGGGGTAGAGTGGGGGGAAGGGGGGAGGGGGAGATAGAAGGGAGAAGGGGAGGGTTGGGGAGAGCTTGGGGGAGTGGGATGGTTAAGATGGAGGAAGGATGGATATGGGAGCAGGGAAGGAGATATGTTAATTAAGGGAGCCATTTTGGGGGTGGCAAGAGGCTTGGCTCTCGAGGGGTTCTCAGGTGTCCACGGGGATGTCCCCAGCTAGGACCCTGGACAGTGGAGGAGAGGGTGCCTGAACTGGCCTTGTCCCTTAGTCTGACTGATGACTATCTTGAATAGAACCTTCATCTGGCGACAGATAGAGACAGAGACTCACATCAGAGCACTGGACTGAGCTCCCAAGGTCCAGTTGAAGAGCAGAAGGAGGGAGAATAAACAACACATTTATATAAACTCTTTTTTTTAGATAAGATCTCTTTATAATTTATTTATTTATTAAAGATTTCTGCCTCCTCCCTGCCACCGCCTCCCATTTCCCTCCCCCTCCCCCGATCAAGTCCCCCTCCCTCATCAGCCTGAAGTGCAATCAGGGTTCCCTGACCTGTGGGAAGTCCAAGGACCACCCACCTCCATCCAGGTCTAGTATGGTGAGCATCCAGACTGCCTAGGCTCCCCCAAAGCCAGTACGTGCAGTAGGATCAAAAACCCATTGCCATTGTTCTTGAGTTCTCAGTAGTCCTCATTGTCCACTATGTTCAGCAAGTCCAGTTTTATCCCATGCTTTTTTCAGACCCAGGCCAGCTGGCCTTGGTGAGTTTCCGATAGAACATTCCTATTGTCTCAGTGTGTGGTTGCACCCCTTGCGGTCCTGAGTTCCTTGCTCGTGCTCTCTCTCCTTCTGCTCCTGATTTGGACCTTGAGATTTCAGTCCAGTGCTCCAATATGGGTCTCTGTCTCTGTCTCCTTTCATCGCCCGATTTATATAAACTCTTCTAAGGCTCAGAGAATACCATGGGTGAGAAGGAGCAAACAATGTAAGACCTGGAAGACAGGGGAAAGGGATGTAAAGCACCATCTTCTAGGCAAAATGCAGATTTTTTTATTCCTTGATGCTACCCTGAATCTGTACAATAATAGTGTAACCCGCCTGCGGATCAGTTATTCCTGGGTTGTAACCCGCCTGGCAGGTCAGTTATTCCAGGGCCCCCAGAAGAGGAGCTATCTGAAAAGACATGGGCGGGAAAGAGGAACGAGGCTGAGCAAGAACTGTTGTTAAAGCCTCCATTTATTAGCATAATGGTTGTGGCTTACATAGCCCCTGGATGAGAAATTTGGCTTGGCATGGGGGCAGGGGCATGGCAAGGGCAGGAAGGGACCTTGCCGGGTCAGGTAATGGTCACGAGTCAACATTTGGTCCTGAGTCAGGAGTTGACACACCTAGTGTTTTCTATGCAAGCAAAATGGTTCCTTTTGTGATTCCAACCAAGATAGTTGGGTGTGGGGTGGGCTCCGCCAACAAACAGTTCTCAATACAGTTGGGGTGTGGGTCTCTCTGCAAACATCCCCAGGACAATGGTCCCCACTATACTTTTTGGGAAAATGGCTCCTGACAGAATAGGTCTATCAACAGTCAAGCATGAATGAAGGAAGCCTTAGTGAGTCCTACTCCACACTGCTGAATGATTTGTTACTGATAGATTCAGGGAGAGGGACTGTTGTTGCTATCTAGTGTGTACTCGCTAGTGACCCCACCAAGCTCCAGTGGATAGTTCCAATCCGTTACACACACACACACACACACCATGGCAACACATTTAATTAATAAAAAGGATGACAGGGGTGTTATGGGAATTCATTTAGCCTATAGACTTTAAGATACTAGCCCATTAGTGTGTGGTCTGAAGTACTATAAGCACAGACAGGAAACATCCTCGTCCCCCTTTTTCCTTTTGCTCAGTTGGTGGTCAGAGTTTGGTTCACAACCCCAGTGCCCACAGAGCAGAGGAAGGCAGTGGCTTTCTTTTGTGAGTGATCCCCAACAAACATTTATTATCTTTTACTACAGGCTCTTTTAATTGCACAACACAGGGCTTGTGAGGTCATATGTCCACACAGGTAAATTATGTGTGCCCTGAGTTATCTTAAAATATTTTAGTGTATTAGCATCCATCATGGCTGAGAATCATTGCAGAAAGCAAGTATGGCAGCAGGAAAACTGGGAGCTCACATCTTGAATCATCACAAGGAAGCCAAGAGAGCGTGCTGGGAACAGTGTGAGGCTTTACAACCTCAAAGCCAGCCCCCAGTGACGTATGTCCTCCAACAAAGCCACACCTCCTAAACCTACTCAAATAGGGCCACCAAACTGTGGGCCAAGTATTCAAACATCTGAGCCTATGGGAGCCATTCTCATTTAAACTACCACATTCTGTTCCCCGGCTCCCAGAGGCTCATGGACATATCATGATGCAAAATGTATTTAGTCCCAACTCTAACATCTCCTAGAGTTCTTCATTCTCAACACTACTTGAAATCCCAAAGTTGCTTCTAAGATCCAAGGCAGACTAGTAATTATAATCTCCCATAAAATAAAAAAGACCCTTATTTCCAAATAGATAATGGTTTAGAATATACATTATCATTCCAAAGTGGAGAAACAAGAGCATAGTGAGGAAATCCTGGACCAAGGCAAGACTAAAACCACAAATACCTAATTATCTAGCTCCACGTCTGATATCAAAGGGCTTAGCTAACTCTAGGCTTCCTGTTTTCTTGTTTGTGACTTCTCTTTCTTTCTTTCTTTCTTTCTTTCTTTCTTTCTTTCTTTCTTTCTTTCTTTCTTTCTTTCTTTCTCTCTTCTGGTTGGTTCCACTCCCTCTGTGGAACTCTTCTCCTTGGCAGACACCTCATGGTGTCTCCACTATCTTGGGGTCTCCACTGCAGCTCAGGTTTCACATTCACAGTCTCTTAGGACCCTCACGCAAGGACATCCCTGCCACCCATTGCCTGGCTTTAGTGACACTCTGAAATCATGGAGGAAGAGTCTAAAACCTCTTTACTCTTGCATTCTTACCTCACGGACCACACTGTCAAGTTGACTGTCAGCTTGGGGTGGACCCTTGCCCCCTTGAGTGTTATTTTTGGTTGCTTATGTCATTTTGTTATGGAGCAGAAAATCTGCTATGGTTTTACACAAGGAGGATGGCTGGGTGGGGTCTTGTCCCGAGTACTCTCTCTATTTCGAAGCATACAAGGCTTCTCTTTAGCCTCTTTATGTCTTTCATGACTCTTTTTCTATTTAAAATGCACATTTTATATTTTTCTATTACCTTACCTGCAATTAATAACCATGAAATAGAGTCAATACTAGGCTGTCCTGAAATATCTTCCACCAAATAAATTTTAGTCCATTGCTTTCCTTAGGAAAGTTCTTAGGGAATGGTCAGAAAACAGCCACAATATATATACATATATATTTTGCCACAATATATTTTTACTTGAAATTGTGTATATATGTGTGTTTTCACCAATCCTAAAAGCAGCTTTGCATATAGTTGGAGAGGGTTGTTATCCTCAGCTCCCAAGCTGGAGTTGATGGTTTTTTTAATGCTAATGTAATGCTGTTCACAGTTTCTGTCACATGAGGGCAGCATAACCACACAAAGACCTGATGTCTGCCTTGCCCTTAAAGAACCCATTCCAAAGGAAACTCAGAATTGAAAAACAGATGAAAATATTGTAACAAATACACCAATAAAAATATTCTTCCAGTCGAATACCTTATTAAGTGGATATGTAATTTGCATTAGAAAAGAGGTCACAATTAGAAATTAAGAGTATGAGGTGGGCAAGATGGCTCAGTGGGTAAAGGCACTGGCTGTGAAGACTGATGACGTGAGTTCAGTTTCTGGAACACATATGATGGAAGGAGGGAGCTGATTCTCACAAACTGTCCTCTGGTCTCTGCCACAAGCAGTGGCGTGTGTGTGTACGTGCATGCACATGTGTGTGTATACACACACTAAATAAATAGCCACTTTTTTTTAAATTAAGGGATTAAGAAAAGAACACAAGAGTTTAAGAATTAGGAGGATCTTTGTCATTGATGGGTAAAATCTTACGTGACCTTTGACCACTAGTGTCAGGTGACCCAACACAACGTCTTGGGTTAGTTACTTAATATTACTATTTCTTACTTATAAGATCAGAGTAATCATGCTATGATTTCATAAGATTGGCAGGGGTTAAATCGGATAATCCAGGGAGATGAGCTTGCTCTATTCTACATATTAATCAATTTGCATCAATAATTTTAATTTAATCTAATTATTAATTAATTCCATCAAGGATTGATCTGCATTAATTATACTCACTAAATACCGACTCTCCTTTTCTTTTGTTCATTTTGAGATGCGATCTCAGGTAGCCCAGTTTGACCTTAAACTTTCTACGTAGCTGAAGCTGGCCTTGGACACCTGATCTTGCTTCCATTTTCCGAAGGCTGAGAATTTTCAGATATGGGTGGAGTTCAACATACAGGAAAGAATTTGAAGGAGCCACTTAGCTGGTATTTTACTTGCTCATAACAGTTCCGGATATAATACAGTGGAGGGAACTGTTTGCGAGGAGGAGGGGACGACATGCAGACCTAGTGTGGATCACAACGCTCCCACCTGTGCTGATACGGAAGAAAGTTGCTTTTCAAACACTTGAATGGTTGCATTTTGATTATTTGGTAATAGGGTGATGATTCCTTCTTAGGAACTAACCTGTGTTCTGTGATAACAATGCCATATTGAATACGATCCTGAAAGGAATTTAAGAAAACAGAGAGACGCAATTCAGAGGCAGGAAACACAATACTTTCTCAGTTTGTTCAGCCCTTCTGTTGTTAGTCTAGAGCAGTGTCTTCAAGCATCTTATTTGATGGACTCGAGACAGCATGTTTGACCAAGGAAATTGAATTGTTCTGGATTTTCAATCCATGCATAGTGATCACTTAGTAAAAACCTAGGAAACTTAAAAAGTGGCTTAGACTTTCTGGGGGTAAATTTTTAGCCAGGAAAGAGAAATAAAAAAAAATTGACACAGTAATGAAAGAGTGGCAAGTCAAGCTAGAATAATTAGGAAGGACTGGGTGGATGCAGGTTTTGTATATATATATATACTGAATATATATACTGAATATATATATACTGAATATATATACTGAATATATAGAATATATATATGCCTATATATCAATGTATCTATATATCCATATAACCATATATCTAGATAGATAGATAGATGGATTTTTTTTTTCTAGACAGGGTTTCTCTGTATAGCCTTGGCTTCCTGGAACTCACCCTGTAAACCAGGATGGCCTTGACCTCAGGGATCAGTCTGCATACTCCTCTTGAGTGCCAGGATTAAAGGCTCATTTCACCACCACCTGACCTTGAGCGTGGTCTTAAATGTTAATTAGGAATTGGAGAACAGGAGGAAGAAAAAAAAATGTACGTAGGTGTAATGTGCACCATTATAAAATTCGTGTGTTGAAGTCCTAATTATAAACACATATAGAGGAAAGACCTTGCGAAGACACAGGCTTTAGAAAGCCATCGTCAGGCCAAGGAAGGAGACGTGGAAACAATCTAACGGTGTCAACACACCAATCTCAGTCTCCTGGCCTCCAGTGTTGTGAGAGAATAAATTCCTACTTTTTAAGTTGTAGTTTTGCAGTGCTTTGTTAAGGCAGTTTCACCAATGCAGGGGAAAGTGGCGAGCAGGGCTGTGGTCCCCAACAGTCACATCCTTAGAGGGCCAGAAAAAAAAATCAGTGGTTTGGAGCTGGAGAGACGGATTAGCTGTGAAGGGCACTGTTGGTCCTGCAGGGAATCCAGGTTGGGTTTCTAGCACCCACACAATAGTGGGGATCTCATACCCACTTCTGACTTCCCCAGGTATGTGGTGTACATACTTGTATGCAGGCAAATGCTTATACAATTCAATAAAGTAAATAATTCTAACAATAAAAAGTAAAACAATAATCATCTGGTGTTAAAGAACCTTTGGCTTCTTCAGCAAGCACACTTATGTGACATTGTTCTGGAAGAGGTGGGAATTGGCCTGGTGGGGTTTAATCACAAGTTTGGAACCGAGATGGAGCTGCACATATCCTGCTTCTAGAACTGAAGCTAGCAGTGACGTGAAGGATCCTGCCGGAGACTGAAGACGACAGCAGGGTCTGCGGCTGCAGCTCAATTGGTGGAGTGTTTGTCTAACATATAAGAGCCCACAGCTTCAAATCCCAGCACCACCTAAGTCAGGCAAGGGTGCCACATACTTGTAATCCTAGCACACAAGAGGTGGAGACAGGAGGATCAGACTTTCAAAGTTTTCCCTAACTTGCTATAGCTAAGGGTAGCTTGGACTATGTGAAATTCTGTCTCAAAGAAGGAAGGGTGAAGAGAGAGAACAAAAACCATCCCTGCTGTGAAAAACAGAAACGGAGGGAGTGCAGACATGAATTAGTTATTTAAAGTCAGAAGAGAGCATCTTTGCCAGCAAAGGGACTTTCTGAATCCACTGAAAGGATTTCAGGGCCATAGAGGTACCACTGGTAACACAAGTGTCTGAAAACAGAGCTTGTCCCCACAGGAGGTACGCAAGGGAACAGGCTGCATTTAAGGTTAAGAATGTTGATGCTAGAATTAAGATAAGCCACGAAATCTGTGAGAGAGTGACGAAGGGTTCAGGGACAAGCCAGTGTGTAGGAGATTTGGGAACCAGAGTATCTACTGCATCATTTACAACGCTGGCTGAAGTGGTGCATTCTGTCACTGCCATTACCTTGTCTTGTTCTAGAGCTGTGGGAGACTCTGATAGAAGCACCACACTTGTGTGATCAGTTTAAGGAAAGTACAGAGCAAACCATCATGCTTCATGTTTGGGTTAATATTGAAGAAATGAGGAAAAAGCGAATATCCATAGAAAGAGAATCAGTTGAGACTAATAGTTCGCTGGAGACAGGCTCTGAGCTACAACCAAGGAAGCTGAGCTTCTGGCTGGCTTTCATTTTCTGTTGCTAATAATAATCACAGTATCACAGGCAGGTATTAAAAAAAAGATTTATTTATTTTTTTCTCATGGTGCTGGTCCAAAGACTGGTAAAGGCTTTCTTCTTGGCAGGGTCCTGACATGGCACAGGGAGTCACTTCGTGAGAGACAGGAAAACGTGTGTGTGTGTGTGTGTGTGTGTGTGTGTGTGTATGCTCTGGTTTCATTCCTTCTTATAAAGCCACAAGTATTCAATCATGGGAATTTGGCCTCATGTAACCCTAGTTACCTTCTAGGGGCCCCACTTATGAACACTGTGGCAGGATAAAGTTTCCACCCTTCTAATACTTTATGATGGGGATTATATTTCAACATGAGTTTCCAGGTAGGAGTTTTGGAGGAGACAACTATGTTTGAGCTGAAGCTGCAAGTCACATGGGAATACTTACCTTAATACCACTGCATTCAATTCATGTCCTTGATGAACTCTCCCGTACTGATTTGGAGAATCTTTGCACTTGACAAATAACATTAAAAGATTGCCTAGAGCTGGAGAAATAAAAGTCAACCAATATAGCGATGACCTAGCAAAGCACACTGCCCCACCCCCACCCCCAGGACAACCACTTGGATGAGAACATGGCTAATGAACACAAATTCAGGGCTTTTCTTGGTTTTCATTTCCTCTTCTCATAGCTGCCATTGCTATGAAGATGAGTGAGTTACAGGTGTATGAAAGACCAGGGCAAAGTTTTCAACTCTATTTAGAGGCAGAGTGTTAGTGGATTGGTCAGAGGCAAAATTTAGAGTTTTTTAATTTGTTTTTATTCTTACTGAAGTGACCCAGGAATTGACACTGGTGCTATGACTTCCTGTGACCATCCAAACTCTTTAACTAGGAAGACAAAAACACGCTTAGCTGTTGCTTTTTCTTTGTAGCCGTTTTCTATGATACCACTGTTACAGGAGACGAAACTTGGAGAAGCTTAAAATGGCAGGCACTCAGGAAGCAGAGGCAGGGGGATCTCTGTGAGTTTGAGGCCAGTCTGGTCTGCAGAACAAGTTCCAGGACAGGCTCCAAAAGCTACAGAGAAACCCTGTCTCTGAAAGCCAAAAACGGAAACATACAAATTGAATGGTAGAGTAGAAAGAAAAGACATTATATAGCAAAGTTATTGAAATGTAAATCTATTAAATAGTTTTATAATAGAACTCAAATTATAAGCAGGGAAAAGCAAGTGCCACAGCAAGTATGAACTTTTGATTTCTCCAGAGTTTGTCCTAAATAGTTTGTTAAGATGAGTTGCCATCAAATCAAATCTATATTATTATATGTAGGAAGTCTAGTCTGTGAAGACAGCATTGTAAATTGGTTTAGGGAAAGCTTCATGTAAAGGTTATAGATTTAGCTGGACCTCCAAAGATGCTGCAGGTCCTCTGAGAACCTACGTCAGGCACCCAGATTTTCAACTTTGATGCTACTGATGTTTTTGGACTGGGTGATTCCTTGTTGTGGGGGGACTGCCCTGGTATGTGAGATATTTTTCAACATTTCCAAACTGTATTCACCAGATGTCCATAGGAGCCCTGTTTCCACTCTAGTTATAAGGACCAAAAATGTCTCTAAATATTATTAATGTCATTCATGTAGACTGGTTATCTGCCCCTGGTTGAGCATCTCTGATTTAATACATAAAGGCAATATAATATAATTAGAGACATTGTCTTAGTTTTAATATCTTCGCAAGCAAACCAAGTCATAGTGTTGCAATCTGGGCATAAAGGAAGTTGTTTCAAGAAGATGGCTTGATTCATCCTCCAAGAGATGTTGACTAGCCCTAGAGAAATAAACCCAGATAATGCTGACAGTTGGTACTTTGACTATTGTAAGACAGATAGCATATAACCCATACCTGTTTCACCCAGTGGTGACTGTACTTTTTCTGAGAATCCCTGAATAACACAGACACAATAATTTCTGATGAGTCACTAAAATTACAGTTTAGGAAACACGAAGCATATTAAAAATACAGCTCAAAGCCGACTCATGTTTTACTTTCCCACTTCAAATACCCAGTGAATTTCTATTTCTTCCACTTGCACTGATTTCTGTAAGTCTGCTAGGCTGACTTTTAGTCATCTGCGGGGCTAAACAGCAGGGGGTATGTCTGGTTAGGACTGACGAGGCAGCCCCGAGTCGTTTTAAAATTTATGCTCAAAGAAGGAACAATTATAGAAACTCGAACCACTGAAAACATTCGCCTTATGAAAACAGGAAACAAAAGAAAAAAAAGAGGCAGGCCAGCATAAACGTTTATGTATATGCAGAATGTATGTAACATATGCATTTACTGTTATACAGATCTGGATCCTCTGTTCTTAACAGGTGAGCTATCTCGTCAACCCCAGAATTTATGCTTTCTATGTCCTCCTTTTCCTTAATGTTACCATTTCCACCTCACTATCTTCTTATAGCACCCAGTGGCACCATCCTAGGTGTGGCACTACCCACGTGGAACTGCGTCCTCCGACACCTATCACCAATCAATACATTGTGCTGCTCACTGACTTTCCGCGCGGCCAATCTGATTGGGGCATTTTCTCAAGTGAGTTTTTCCTCGAAAACAACTGTAGCTTGTGTCAATTTGACTTGTGTCAACTAGCCAGCATATATAGTAAAGGGTAACATGTACTGAAGACTTCATAGCTCTACCTACAGAGTTATATCGCTAAATGCACCACAACTGTTATTTCAATAAGCCTCTAATAATAATTCTACAGAGTAGATATCATTTATTTTCATTTACAAAGTAAGACGAGGCTTTAAAAGGTTATGCAACTTGCTCAAGGAGATACTGTTGTCAGAGCAACATTACAAACAAGAGCTGTCTGCCTCGGGTTATGTATCTTGTCTTCAGCGACTGATTCTACCTCCTGGGTAACTCAGTTCTATCAGTGCTGCAGTTATCAGGGCGGTTGGATCACTTTCTTTTCTCTCTTGTTTTTGTTTTTTTTTTTGGTGCCCAGAATCCAGCCTAGGGACTGACATGAGTCAAGTGAGCCCTCGGCTCACAGCCCCAGCTGAATCAAGTTTTATAGCTAAAGAAGCAGCGGTTACTTACTCAGGGTAAATCCTAGCACTGCTCCCACTTTTCACGAGGTTCTTGTCCTGTGTGCTCTTTATGAGGGGAGCCCTTAAGCTTTTGAAAGGTGGTGTCTACTTACCTGGGCTGTTCTCAAACTTGTGACCCCAAGTTATTCTCCTGCCTCAGTCTCCCTTGTAATTGGAGCTACAAGCATGCACTGGTGTGCCTTGTTCTGATTTTGCTTAGTCTCACAAACTCAAACTTCCTTTTTATATTTAGTGAAGCCTGCCAATCAATCAAAATTTAGAATTTGTAAATTTTAAGAGGAACAAATTTGAAATTCTGACCAAATGTGTTTTTATAAATAGAAATGATCTTTTCAAATGTATCTCATGATAGATTTTCAAATCTTCTAAGGTTAACTGGAGTGTTTGTCATTGTTGTTTTGAGACAGGATCTTGCTATGTAGACGAGGATGGCCTTAAACCCATTCCGTAGCTCATGTTTGTCTTATGATCCTCCTGCTTTGACCTCCTGAATCCTGAAATTACAATTATAAACCATCAAATTGGGTTTAAACTGAACATTTTACTTATATTTACTTGCTATTTTCTGGAAATTATTTTAAGAATAGAAGTGGTGTGTGTGTGTGTGTGTGTGTGTGCATGTGTGTGTGTGTGTGTGTGTGTGTGTGTATGAATGTGTATAGCGACCAGAGGTCAATGTTGGCTGTCTTCCAAATTGCTCTCTACCTCACATTTTGAGACAGTGTGTCTCACTGAACCTAGAGTTCATCCATTCTGCGAGAGTGACTGACCAATCCACCTGTCTCAGCGCTGGGGGTTAGATACTCCCATCATAGCACCCGGCTTTTATGAGAATTCTGGGGAGTCAGATTCAGATGCTCATGCTTGCAGATCAGGAATTTTACAGGCTAATCCATTTTCCAGCCCTGTGAAAGTATATTTTTTGCATAGAGAGTGTTTTTATTTGTATCTAAATAAAAATTGTTTTAGAAGATAAATTAATAAGTAGAAGGAAGACATGAAACATTGGTTTGTATGCGGGTGCCTGTGGAGGTCAGAAGAGACGGTCAGATCTGGAGCTTGCGTTACAGGCAGCTGTGAGCTGCCCGATTGGGGAGGGACAAACTCTAGTTTTCTGCAAGAACATCAGGAAATTAACCAAGTCCCTGGAAACTTAACTGATCAATCTTTTACCCATTTCAACTACATCTTCCTCCAATAGCTTAATTTGGCCTGACTTCTACTCTTAAATCTACATTTTTTTTTTCATGTGTTCTGACTCCATCCTTTTGGGTACTTTTAAAGAAAATGGTAATGGAAAAAGTATGAGCTGAAATTTTCATATCTTCCCTTCTGTATGCCAGTGGGAAGTATAGGACAGAGGGCACAGCAGTTATGGTTGTTGGTTTGGGAATGCTCCTGGATAGTTATAATTTGTATAGCACAACAGAGATAAATGAATGAGGCTCTGGGATTTCTCAACCCGTGCCCCGTGGTTTTGTTACAAACACGATCTGAATACGATGTTCTTTTCTAACATCAGATAGAGACAAAAGCAGCTAAGATATCTGGGGACTTGCATCCTGACCACACAGGATAATAACAGATGCTGATAACTGTGGCTTTGCTCACTGGACATTCCTTGAGGCACAAAAGTTACGGAAAGATTACTGTTCAAAATTGTAATGCCCAGGAAAAGAGAAAGCTGCTTCTTGTAAGGAAAAGATCAAGGGAGGTTTTACATGCGGGAATGTTTACTTTTCAGAGGTGCCCAGAGAATGGCTTGAGCGCTGTTGGAGATGCCTGTGAGCTGAACTCACTCCTCAAGGAACAGATGACTGTTAACAACGGTCGTAACCTCACGTAGTCCTTTCTCACCCACCTTTTAGTGGGACCGCCAAGGATCAGAGCAGCAGCTCACAGGTGGCTGTGTGTGTGTCTGTAATTTAAATCTTGTTAAACACATAGGTTCCTATAAAAGTTCTTCTTAACAGGTCTGAGGTGGGACCAGGTGTCTGTTTAGAGTATTCCAGAGACAGTGGTACAGAGACCACCAGAGCCGCATTTTGTGAAAGTCTATGCAGGTCATAAAATCCTGATAGAGATCTGGGCAAGCTCATAGTTATATGCCTCTGCTGGGAGAAAGTGGAATTTGAATTTCGTTTTGACATTCTTATACAGATATCTAAAGTACCTTGCTCATAGGCCCCGCCCCATGACCTATCTTCTTCTCCTCTACTCCTAAACAAAAGGAGCTCTTTATACACAAAACACATAGCTAGCATCATGGAGTCCTGAAATCAAAGTTAGAAGAGACCTTAGAAAGTGACCTCACGTTACTCAACTGTTAGACTGATAATTTCTAAAATAATTTCATAATGGGGATTCAGTGAGTCCTGTGGTATCTAGTCTGGTTTGCCCTCAGTCATTACGGTGC